ATAAATAATTCATCATCAATATCATATGACGCAAAAGTACAAATCATGCATAACACTGTTATCGTAGAAACATTAAACTCTTACTTTCATAATTTTCCACTTTCTTTATTTCGCATCAATATCAAAATTTCGCATGAATATCCCAGCCCAAATTGTTCCTATTGCCACACAACAATCCTTCCTAAGGTACAACTCGTGTTATAACCCAAATATGGAAATAATTAATTATGAATGGATATTACCTTTCGTGAATATCTATCGTTCACTATGTAACAATAGTAATCACCTGGAAGATGACAAATACCAGAACAATCAAAAAGATGAAGTACGCGTAAAGGTCGTGATGATAAGGAAACGAAAGATATCTAGACAATTGAAGAAACATCAAGCAATTGTTACCCAAATGTCTTAGAAAATTTCGGGAGAAACAATTACTAACCTTAGAATTAGCATAGTAATTCAGAAATGTATATATCGATATACGATTACAAAAATTCTTTAAATAATCAATCATTCATACGTACGCAACAACACGAGACACAATTTTTAGGTTCCTACTCCTTTCTATTCTTTCTATCCTACTTTTCCTATCCTACTCCTACGTCCTCCTAGGTTTCTGTTCATCATGATCGCTATGAGCTACTTAAATGTCTGATCCTGGACTTTTTTATCTGACGCGAATTTTGACGCGTTCTTCTCACTTTTTTACCTCTGAAAATGATTCATAAAAAAAATCTTTCTAAAGCAAGGCTTACTCAAAAAAAAAAAAACGTCAATGTACAGCACATGAAAATTGTTCATTCTAACTTACCTTGAAAAAGTTCCAGGTGCCTCTGTTCGTGGAATGGCTGACAAGTTTCACTTAGAGCCCAAACAAATTTGGGATTGGCGTAATAAAAAACAATAACTAATGCTCACCCAACCCCACATAAAATATCTTCATGTTGTCCACGTCCCCGTTATCCTGAAATTGAAGATGAGCTTATGAAATGTATTAAAAATCTTCGTCGCGAACAGAAAGTTATTAGCTGATCCATAATTCAAATAAAAGCACCCATCTTGGCCAAAAATATGAAATATACTGCTCAATATCCGATGATTGGCTCCTTTAAATGGAGTAATAAGTGGCTGGATAGCTTCATGCGTCGTTTTAGACTTAGCAATCATCAAAGAACAACCGTCGACCAAAGATTACCAAAGGATCTTGAAGAAAAATGGCAAGAATTTGTTAGTTTTGTTCATCACAGATGACTTAAACATGACTATCCTCTATCTTTGATAGAAAACATGGATGAAATACCACTCACCTTTGATCTGCCAAGCAACACCACTGTAGATGAAACAGGAAATAGAACAATTTTCATCAGAACCTGTGGTTACGAAAAAACAGAATTTACTGTTGTATTGTTACCGTAGTAACATAAATTTCTCTAATTCGATAATCTTTCTTTGATTATGCGAAATTCCCTTTTTCTTAAT